GCAGTGTGGAGTAAAGGGTCTTTCTCAGAGAGCCAGAGTGGCAGTCTGTGGGAGTGGGGTTTGAACTTATTATCTCTGGAACCCAAGTGCAATGCCCACTAGGCCACCACTCCCCTTACTAATTCTGTTTTTTTTCCCCCCAAGAACGGTTTAAAATAGTTATAGCAAAGCCCAATCTTCATCCTCAGTTATATTAGACCAAATTTGCAATATGCATATCAAAACAGAACTTTTTATCCAGTAAAACTATGTATTTATAACCAGCTATAAACTTCAACTTGTGTAACTGACACAACAGTAATAAATGGATAAATCTCTGAAAGCTATGATATTGGGATACCATTGCTTTAGTTGTATCCACATTCAGTGCTATAGACGTTAAAGTTCTTCTTAGCATTAAAAGAAAAGTTGTAATGCCAGCACTAAGTGTCTCCAGAATCCCTAAAACCAAAAAATATTGCACCTTACTTTGACATTGTCAAACAACAGTAATGCATATTATGAAACGCAAAAACATGTTTGTCAATGAGAAATAATCCATTCATTACAGTATACCTGTTCAATACATATTTAAAATGCATGCTCACTGCCGTGCATTTCCTTCATGACATTTGGAGAATTGCATGTGCCATAGTTTAGTTTTTATTGATATAATACATCCCTATGTTTATCAGACTTAGTGATAACACAATTGCAAATTCCAGTCAACATGTAAAAGCCTGCCTGATCTTCATAAGCAATATACTGTTAGCATTCCTACAGTGGCTCAGCAGCTCTCCATTTTATTACAGCTATAAGTCTCACTTAAAAACACAATACTTCAACGTAATTGGTGGATGTATTTTGGGCGAGACCCGAATGAGACTATTTGAACAAAATAGATTCTCCTGTTCTCCAGCTGTTCTTCATGATACAGACAGAACTCTGAGACGATCACAGAGCAGATGCATTTATACGGAGACCATTCCAGACAGATTGATTCTATTTGTCATTATCAGTCATTTAAGTCAACATTGAATCATTCAGAGATCTTCACTGAACTTCTGGGTTTGCTGCACTGAAAGTAAAGCGGCTAATTTTATTTGCTTGCCCCACTATTCAGTTTTTATTTATTAAGATATCCTATAGATTTCCTTCCACTCAATGGATGTGTCCCATTTGTTGTTGATTTCTCACATAGAATTATGTATTCATATCTTTATGTTTGATGCATGAAATGTGGTGAAAGGCTGAAAAGTTCAATGGGGCTGAATACTTTCTCCAGGCACTTTATGTGAAATGGGATTTAGACTTTATCAAATGGATATGAAATACTTGCTGTGAGTCACAAAAAGCCACAAACAACAAGTGTAATGATGTAAAGTTAAAAAATTAAGCTATGGCTCAATTAAATCAAATTTAAAGAGTGCATAAGATATTTAGACTTGTCCTTTTTATGTTTCTGTGTTTGTTCAGCTTCTCCTTTGGTTTGATCCCATCTTTTCAGCATCATGGATGAAACAGCTGGTGAGTGCTGACACTTTCAGACAAATAGTAAGTTACTTTATTTTAACAGATCAAAAAAATTGGCTATACTTCTGCGATTCACATATCGCAACTTATCATGATTTCCATTCATTTGCTAAAGATATTACAGTAAGGTCAACCTTGTGCTCAAAGCAGTTGTGCCCTGATAGAGTACCCTTAAATGTCTACTGTGGTATCTGGCACCAAGATATATTCATATAATTGACTTCTTTGTCCAGCACACCAAGCAGATGCAGCTCCAGGAAATTTGTAGGCCAAATCAGCACCTCAAATTGGTTGCTGTGCTTCTCAAACTGGTCCTGAACGCTTTATGCTTTGTACCTGGAAGTTTCTATGTAATGGTGTAAAGGTAGATAGTCAAAATAACATCCGCATGAACAGCAGGATACCATCATATTGAATTTATACCCAGCAATGATGTTGAATCTTCTCACCAGATCAGACTTTTCCTTTGCTTTCTGGTTCTGATGTTCATTTGCCAATTGTTAGTTCTTTCAGCAGTGAATAAGAGTCATAATCATCAGAGACCTGACTGCCCTGGAGGAGAAGATTCATTACATACCCTGAGATCCTCCTTTCTATGAGAATCAGAAATAACTTCTAAAGAAGTTTTTGTTTATCATTCCTCCTTCTTTGGTCCACTTTGATAACTACTGACCACTGCAGACCTCTGGCAACTCAAGACAAGGCAAATTTTATTAAATAGCAGATTGCAGCGGCAAGACGATTCAAAGTTTCATACGTAAAAAACAGAACAAAACAGAACATTTACATTAGACTGGAATGAAATAATAATACAATAAATAATAATAATAAAAACTAATGAACACAAATAATAAAAGACACTGATAATAAGAAACTAAAATATGATGAAAACAAATAAATATGTTATCGATAAGAGAAAAACAATTGTACATTTTAAGGGGGAGTTTGTTCTAGATTAGTGGAGCATAAGAACTAAAAGCTGACTCTTGATGTTCGGTTCTGGTTTTAGGTATAAGGAGTAGATGTAAGCCAGAAGATCTGAGAGTTCTGGGAGGTTGATACACTGACAAAAACTATTAATATAACTTGTGATAATCACATTTTTTAGATTTTTTCCTTAAAGAAACCTGGGTGCAGGAAGAGGGTAATGATAGCATACATTTTTATGTTATTTCTAATGTTGAAGGGCCCTAGATTGTGCCTCCTTCCTACTAGGGTCAGTAGGTTGTTATCACAAAATTAATCCTAATCCTACCACTAATGTAATTCCCTTTTTGCCCAAGGAATCAATCTATTTATATGGTATCAGAACATATTTTAATAGTTCTTTATCTATTGTAAAAAATATATCTGCATCTCGCTCATATTAAACATACCAAAAAACAAAAAAACTCATACCCTGTTAACTTAGTTGTTTTTAAAGACCACATTCAATCCTTATGGACTAAAACATGTGGAATTTATTCAAAGTAAAAGCTTAAAGTGCAGTTTTTTACAATACAAGCTAAAAATAGGTGAAATTTTGAGTTTAGGTGAAGCAGGTGAAGTTTTAGAGGCTGCCAAAGCCGATGTTATAACCTATAAGCTTCATATTATCAGGCATAAGAAACCTACTAGAGGGTAGAGGAGGCACACCCTGAAAGCATTCTATCGGACTGATAACAACTGTAAATGCTACCAATTCTAGTGGGCCAAAGCAAAAAAAAAAAGAACTTCAGCTAATAATTTGCAGTTGATTTTAAAGTCACTGACCAAAAAAGAAAAGCTACCATGGTGTTATGTATATGCAAACCAGTGAAAGGGATGTAAATGAGTTGATTTTCAATAGGATCAGGGAAAACAGGTGATGACCCAAAACGGGGTATTGTATATTTGGGGAAAAAAAATATTGGCATTATTGATGGTACAGTTAACCTCTTGGTGGTTGATAAATCTCTCTGATAGATGGCTGACATTTATTTGAGTCTGAATTGTTAGACAGTTAAACTAATTCAGCCGCTGATTTACCAAAATATGTTTTTTTTTTCTGCTGCGGGATGATTCGAAGCAGAGAACTGAATTTATTTCCCGATTTTTGATTATCCAAAAAAATGTTGGCATTACACAGATCAGTACTTTACTTAATACCGGGCCATCGGGTCTGATATAGGTTCAACTTCCATCAATTGAAACCCAGATGTTTTGGTGATTCTTGTCTCATTTGTTTTGTGTGATCAGACATGAACATCCTATTATGTATTTTAATGTCCCAAAAAACCCAACAAAAACAAACTTATAGTATTTTTTCTGTACTTACTTTGTTGGTTTTGATCTTTCCAATCTCCTCCAAAATGTTAAAAACGGAAATGCTGGGGATTTAAATGAATCCTAAAAGTAAACAAATATAACCAGGTCATTTTATAGTGACTCATTGAGTTTAAAGCTAAGAGTAGGGACAGCTCTTCTTGATGTCCCTACTGCCATCTTGTGGTTTCTAAAGTTTCCTCATTATTTCTTGTAAATTTAACAGCTTTGAGACACAGTACCTATGACATGCTGGAATTGGGTTTCAGTAGTGTTAATGAAGCTGAAGCATCACTGTTAAAACCAGTTCTGTTCAATTCAGTCTATTTATATTGTGCCAATTCAATTCACAGCACATGTCATCTCAAGGTACTTTACAGAGACAATTCATCAGATCATACAGGCAGATTGGTTTAAAGTTTACAGCTGTTTCTCTTTCTTTCTTTCTTTCTTTCTTTCTTTCTTTCTTTCTTTCTTTCTTTCTTTCTTTCTTTCTTTCTTTCTTTCTTTCTTTCTTTCTTTCTTTCTTTCTTTCTTTCTTTCTTTCTTTCTCTCTTTCTTTCTTTCTTTCTTTCTTTCTTTCTTTCTTTCTTTCTTTCTTTCTTTCTTTCTTTCTTTCTTTCTTTCTTTCTTTCTTTCTTTCTTTCTTTCTTTCTTTCTTTCTTTCTTTCTTTCTTTCTTTCTTTCTTTCTTTCTTTCTTTCTTTCTTTCTTTCTTTCTTTCTTTCTTTCTTTCTTTCTTTCTTTCTTTCTTTCTTTCTTTCTTTCTTTCTTTCTTTCTTTCTTTGTATTTCAGTGACTCAGCTGAGGTTGGTTCTGATGGGGAACAGTTGGTCTTCCAGAAGTTTGCTTGGAAACTTTCTTCTGGGACAAAGCAGGTTCGACACCGAGGCAGAACCAGAATCATGCCTGAGTTTCAGAGGAAGGTTGATGGGGAAAGACCTGGTCGTAATAAACACCCCGAATCTACTGGTCAACATCTCCCGGTACAAACTTATAGAACACATAGAAGACTTCATGAGGCGTTCTGCCCCAGGACCTAATTTGTTTTTGCTTGTTCTACAACCTGAACACTTTGTGGAGGAACAAAAATACAGGCTCTGCAGAATCCTTGAATATGTCAGTGATCGATCCTTTGACCATTCACTGGTTCTGATAAGAGAGGCTCCTGGACATAACTACATCACTCTGACACCCTTAAACACCATGGTAAAGGAGTGCAGAGGTGAGTTTCTGTGGAAGAGGTCTACTGAACTGTCTGAGCTCCTGATGTTTTTGGAGAAAACTCTGAGAGAGAATGAAGGACAACATGTGAGCTGTGACAAATTCCAGGAGCCTACATCATCTTATCCCAAAGCTGCTGGTGAGTAATTTTGGCTTTGGCTCTGCTTACATGTCACTAGCATCATTTCAGATGTTTTTATACAAAATATAATAGTTTTGATAGAAATATAACTTTCCTTTTAACCACATCTTATAATTTAATACAAGAAAAATTAAGTGCAGTAACCAAGCCCTTAGGTCAGAGGTCACAGATTAGCGGACGCTCCGGAGCGTCCGGCACCAGGCTGCACATGGTCCAAATTAGCCAATGAGCTGCTGTCAGTCTGGGTTGCTGCTGCTGCTACTTTTAGACACAGCAGGCCTGTGGCTAGTCGGGCGATGGGAAAGAAGGAGAAGACGATGAGAAAAAGAGAGCAGAGAAAGTGAGGACTGCTGGAAGAACTGCGGTGAACTGGTGAAAGAAAAATGAAATGGCGTGCTCAAAGATGACCCTGCACATTTAGATGATGTTTGGCTCAACCTGCTGCTGTGGAGCAAGGATGAGCACCTTGATATGTGCTTGAGAATGGCTTTCTCTCCATTCAAACCCAGGTTTAAATCCTTGCAGAGCAGCCTAAAGCCCACTGCGAACATTAGGCCATAAAAAAAAAAGAAATCGTCAGTTCAAGTGTTTTATAAAATATGTGAATCAGGAAATTGTCTATAAACCAAACTGAATTATTGTTGTTCTCTACTTAAGAAAAACTCTTTAGATTTTAAAATGGAAAATGTTTTATTCTTTTTTTTTTTATTATTAAAACGGTCAGTGTATAACATGGATGCATAAACACGTCATTTTATTTCAGTGTTAAGTTCTGTTCAAAATATCAGATTATAATAAAAAAAAATTAAATTACTGGTTGTTAATTTTCTTTATTTGGAACCCGCTGATTTTTAATATATTACCCCTGCCTTAGGTGGTTCTGAACCAGAAAAGGTGGCTTATTCTTAAATTAATCACAAATTCGAGCCAAAAGTCCACTTGTCCGTCACATTGAAAAGAGTCAGCTGATGAGGCTCAGACATAATTTTTGGATGCCCCCTGGAGGCCTCCTTTGTGAGGTGTTCCAGGCACATCCCACCAGAAGGAGGCCCAGGGAATGAGACAGGACATGCTGGAGGGACAAGGTCTCTCAGCTGGTCTAGAAGCGCCTTATGCTCCCCTCAGTAGAACTGGAGGAGGTGTCTGGGAGTTTCTGCTGAGACTGCTGCCCCCCTGACCCTAGATGAAAATGACATGTACTCGGTCCCCCTCTCAGTTCAACGCACTGTGCTTTCTAGAGCACACACAATATCCCAAAGATAAGGTCAAAACCTTATAGTACATGTTTATATGGTTGATGATGTCAACTAAAATATAATTCTCTGGTTAATCTTAATCACCACAAATTTGACCATTTTGTTCTCAGTTTCTTTGGTTATTTTTATCCTGATGTTTTCATGTCATGAGCCTCAGAGCAGACATCAAATAAACTTATGCCAATTTCCGTCAGATTTAGGGATGGTACTGTCTATATTTAAACCACTATGGTACTGATTCCCGACGGTGCCTATTTTCCCTGCTAAAGTGCTCTTAAACCTTCTGCTTCCTTCATTGAAGCAGATTGCCAATGGATGCAGGTGTCCTAATGCGGCTAAATGCAGGTGTTGCAAACTGTGCACATACTTTAGCTTTAAGACAACTTGTGCTTCCTCAGATTAGAAACATTCCCACAACTTGCCTTGCACTTTAGGTCACAAATATAGCAGCATGTCTAATCTGTAGCGCTTTTTAAAAACTAGAGCGATTGTGGAGATGAAACCTTCAGCCATATTTGGTTTGTGTACTGTTGCAATGGCCTACTGTTGCAGGCATGTCATTATATGCCTGCGTGTACGATGTGCATTCATGTCTGACATGAAAAAATCTTCCACTTCTTCACTTCCACTGTTTCATAATGATGCATTAAAGTACCGTTTTATTTTAAGTCAATAGGTACTTCATAGAACTTATCTAATACTGTCAGTAACCATAAAAGTATTGAAGTTAATACCAATCCATAGTCAGTTTGCCTCACTACAGCTTTTTACCTAACAATACTCTTAAATAATAATGTTATATTAATAATATTTGTAATTCTTCCTCTTGCTTTACTCTGCATATTTGTACATAATTGGGGTGCATTGAGATTGCTAAATACAAAAATCTGATTATTAACCACTAGAGATTACCAACAACCCTAATATCAGCAACTGAATGTGTTCATACAGTTCTTGTGAAAATTCCTAATCCCAGCCAGCTGATGTCTGTTCAGGACAATCAGAGCTCAAAAATCAAACATTAAATACTACACATATAGATTTATCAACACCGGCTGGTGTTAAAATATTAAATTTGCTTTATTTAGGAAAGAGTCAGAAACTAATTTGATAGATTCATAAAGTGCACTTATTTGTTTTTGTTTTTTTCTATAGAATAAGAAGAGATTGTAAAATTGTTCCTTAAAATTTAGAAAGGACACTGGTTTCAGGGATGAAAGGTTTTTTTTCTTCTGGTCCATCTAAAGGCTGCTTGTGAAAAAGACTCAGGAGTCAGGGCTTACAGTTGTGGAGGATTGGTACTAAGAAAGCTCTGTTACCAAATCCACAGCGAAACCAGGCTTGCTGAAAAATGGGTAGTAAATTATATTACTTATGATAGTCCCTTAATTTATCATAAGTTATTGATTAACTGATTGGATATGGTAGCACAGGCAGTTTTATTCATGTGATTTTAAGATAATTATTTCTTTATCTTTTCATTGTTGTGTTTCAGGTTCTGCCTTCAGAATAGTTCTGTTTGGAAAGAGTGAAGAGAACAAGACAAAACTTGGGAACTTCATCATTGGTGGCAGTGGGGATCATTTCCAGAGAAACTCTGCTTCCAATAAGTGTGCAGTCATTAATGGGGAGTGGAAAGGATATTCACTCACTGTAGTTAAAACCCCAAACTTCTTTAGTATGTCTAAGAAAACAATCAAAGCAGAAATGAGGAAATGTGTGAGCATCTGTGAGCCTGGACCAAATGTTCTTCTGCTATTAGTGAAACCTTCATCATTCACACAAAGCAAGAGGCAAACCCTCATATCCATCCTCAGTTTGTTGGGACCAGAACCTCTGAGGCACTCGTTGGTCGTTAAGACCCATGACCTGATTGAATCTCAGGCAGTCAAACAGCTCATTAGAGACTGTAATGACCGACTGTACAACATGTATGAAAATGACCAGAAAATGATCATGAAGAAGGTTAAAGCAACAGTGCATAAAAACAAGGGAGCCTACCTCACCATCACTGAAGACAACATGGAACCAGAAGCTGTATCTAAAAAGCCCGTATTAAACCTGGTTCTGTTAGGGAGTAGAGTAGCAGAGAAAGCTTCAGTAGCCAAGGCCATTCTAGGTCAGAGAGAGCTTCATTTGGCCTCTAACCCATCAGACATCATCATGAATCAGGATGATGTGTTTGGGTGTTGGGTTTCTGTTCTGGAGATGCCTTCCCTGTATGGAAAATCTCGTGAGGAGGTGATGCAGGAATCCTTTAAGTGCATCTCTCTCTTTGATCCTGAGGGTGTCCACGCCTTCATCCTGGTCCTACCTGTGGGTCCCCTCACTGATGAAGACAAGGGTGAGGTACAGACCATCCAGGACACATTCAGCTCTAGAGTCAATGATTTCACCATGATCCTGTTCACTGTTGAGTCAGATCCTACAGCTCCAGCCATCATTGACTTCATCAGAGAAAGTAAAAGTGCCCCAGAACTCTGTCAGAGCTGTGGAGGAAGATATTTTGTTCTGAACATCAAGGACCGGCAGCAGATCCCAGAACTATTGAGTGTCATAGAAAAAAACAGAGCATATATAGACGAACAAAGCTCCTACACAACCAAAACACATGCCAATGCACAAGCAGAAAAAGTATCAGAAAAAGAGGAAAACATTGAGCAACTGAAGAAAGCACTTCAAGACCTCAAGTACAAGAACGTCGCTCCTAGTAAGTGTTACTGAGATGGAGAAAGAAGTGCACCCTCTTTCTAATGTTTTTAAGTTACATATCAGATATTGATCTAGTTAATTCAGTCTTCAGCGAGATCTACAGTTAATTCTAACTTCAAATGTAAAAAAAACAAGCAAAAAGAAAACTACTCAGATTTTAAAGTATTTATTAAGCAAGGTGAAGCTTTAGAAAAATTTAGAAGCAAAGGGGCAAGGTTTACCTGCTGCTAATTTCTTTAGCAGTTTTCAGAAACTCCATCAACAGGAAAGGGCGCTACATACTCCAGGAGAAAGCTGTGAGAATAAAATGACATCCTTTTATTGCAGTATTGTCTTGGAGGTACTCGTTCCTTGCTCTTGGTTATCATCTAGGCAAAGCCTTTCTCTAACAGTATGTCCACAACCTCTATGCTGTGGTTCTGTCTGACTTGATTGGATCATAAACTGCTGTTCAGGAGTTTTGATCCATTCCTTCTTCCAATTGCTTCAGTTCATTGATTTGTCCATTTGTTTCCAAACAACTCTCTGAAGGTCCCATCCAGCATTTTTATCAGTTTGATGTCTTTTTCCTACCTTGGTCATCACATTTGAAACTTTCCTTCAATAATTCTGTTGTAGATCTGCTGATGTCAACTCATTTCCATGCATTTGTTCTGCAGCTGAACTGGGTATGTCCAGTCTGCACAGTGAGTTAAATTGTGGAGATTGGACTCACCTACTTTAGCGGCTTGGCAGAACAAATACACAACATGGAGATGACTTGTTGATGCCCTGTCCTCCATCTCTGGCTGTTGGGTTTGAGATTGTGGTACTGGTATTGACACTGTTTGTGCTAAGCTTCATCCATTTGGCAGATGAATATACCTTTGTGTGTATAATACTTTAGAGAACAGACAAAAATGTTGCCCAGTAGTAACTTTAATTTAGCCAACCTGACAAAGAGCCCACCCCACTCCCAGCCAGCCATAGCCATTCCAGGCCCACATATCCATATGGTCATCTTACAACCATGGCTGCCATGCAACCACAACCCAGGTAGTCCATCCTTCAAGGGCCAAGCATACCATGACATAGTAGGAACATCAGACTTGGGCTGACCCACTAATTTACGTAATGCCCCTGAGCGTAACGTACAGACGTCGAAACATTGCTCCAGTCTGATCTAACAAGCAGAAGAAACTGTGCTTACATTCAAAAACCTGTGCGGGCAGTGCTTTTATTTTATTTTATTTACTTTTATTTATTTTAGTTATTTTATCTTTTTGTGCAGCACTTTGGAAACCTTGTGTTTATTGAAATTGTGCTATATAAATAAAGTGGATTGGATTGGATTGGAAAAACATGGCGCAGCACTGGTGAAATTGATTTGGATGGATAAAAGAGCCAAACAACAAAGAACACTTACTACACCCTGGCTTCCTTACTATCCATTGTTTACTTTCCTGATTTCTGTCACGCTGGTGACATCATCAACGCTAACCCATTTTGATGGGATCACCAGACACACAGCAGTGGGAGGACAGAGGCCACTTAACTTGTCAGCGCGGGTCTGACCCAGCTTTCTTGCCAATGGGAAGGGAGCCAAATACCAATTGGGTCTTGCCATGTTTGACAAACCTGTGGTGATGCACTAATTTCAGTGCAAAAGAAGCTGTAGATTAAGGGTTTTCTACAATGATGCAGTCTTTCACTCATCCATGCTCTTTTATTCAATTTGTGTAGTTCAGTCCTTATTCTGTATTCATGGCTCAGCCCAACACAGATTGTCTCATACTAATGTTTATCAATTTAGTTTTAAAACAGGGCTTTTGGTTTTATGTTTTCTACACTTCAGGTAAATATAAATACTGTAGCAATCTTGAAAATATTCAATCCTTTGAATGAAAATAAGGTTCATTTTATTTATCTATTGCTAGCATCAAAACTTTTACTTCCTAGTTAATAAACTAATCTTTTTATATATATAATTTTGATTCTTAAACTTTATTATCAAACTTAGATACTTAATATATTACTCTCAATGCCTACATTCCTCTGACTTTAGAACTTTTATTGTAATGTTTTTTTCCTCATGGCGAAAAAATGAAGCTCTTTGTTTTTCCCTTTAGGTGTTCATGAGCAGCCAATCCCTGACAGTCTCAGGATTGTCCTGATAGGGAAGACTGGCTGTGGGAAAAGCTCCTCAGGAAACACCATTCTGGGAAGAGAGGAATTCAAAGCAGATGCTCTTCAAAAGTCCGTCACCAAGCGCTGCCAGAAAGCTCAGAGTGAAGTGGCTGGTCGCACAATCACTGTGGTCGATACTCCTGGACTGTTTGACACCAGCCTGTCTAACGAGGAAGTCAATGAGGAGATGACCAAGTGCATCAGTCTTCTGGCTCCAGGACCACATGTTTTCCTTCTGGTGTTATCGATCGGCAGGTTTACTGCAGAGGAGAAGGACACATTAAGATTGGTTACAAGGGTCTTTGGAAAGACTTCTGAGAAATTCACCATCATCCTCTTTACTAAAGGAGACTCATTAGATCATCATTCAATATCAGTAGAAGAGTACATTGAGAAAGGGGAGGATTTCATTAAGAATCTAATTGAGGATTGTGGAGGAAGATACCATGTGCTTAATAACTATGACAAAGAAAACAAACAGCAGGTTTCCGAACTGATAGAAAAGATTGAGAAGATGGTGAAGATAAATGGCGGTGGTTGTTTCACTAATGAGATGCTGAGGGAAGCAGAGGAAGCAATCCAGAAAGAGGTGGAGAAAATTCTGAAAGATAAGGAGGGGGAGATGCAAAGAGAGCTGCAAAAACTCAAGGAGGAACGGGACAAAGAAGTAAACAACATGCAAGAAAGAATGCAGGAAATACAACCAGAATTAGCAATAGAGAAAGATGATAAATTAAAACAACTGGAACAGATGAAGTTTAAAATCAACAGTGAGAGCGAAAAGATTAGGAGAGAAAAGGAAATAAGAGAAGAAGAAGATAGGAAGAAGATGCAAAAGGAGGAGATGGAGCGGCTGGAGTGTGAAGAGAAGCTGAAGGAGTTAGATGAAAAAAAAAATTCTACAACAGATCTGGAGGAGAGGAGTTTACTGGAACAACTCAAAGAAAGTACAAGAAAAGAACAAGAGAACAGAGAGAAAGAACAAAAGGTATACTGGGAAAGACGTAGGAAAAAACTGAAACGGAAAACTGCTGAATTCAAAATCAGACAGCTGCAAATGGAATATGATCAGACCAAGAAAATGTTTGAACAAAAATTTAAAAGAAAAGAAAACGAAATGAGAGAGGTAGAGGAAAAATATGAAAAGAAAGCTGAGAAAATCAAAAAGAAATTTGAAGAGGATGCAAGAGCGAAAGCTGAAGGCTACAATGAGTTCAGAGAGAAATACAGCACAAACTTTGCAGGTCTGTTGGAAGAACACAGAGAGGAAATATGTAGCCTGGAGCTGAAACATGAGAGGGAGATCCAGGAGACAGAAAAGAAGCTTGAAAAGGAGTATAAACTGCTGGACAACCTACAAAATTACAAAGAAATACAACTGAAAGAGGAACTGGAACAAAAAGAGAAACAGCTCAAAGAAATTGAAGATTTAAAAAACAGACAAGAACAAGAGTTAAAAAAGATGAAAGAAAAATACAAGAACAGGTGTCTGATCGCCTGAGAGTGTTATCAGTTTATCAGTGTCAGATCCTGGCGGTGATGTAGAGTACAGACTGACTTACTTCTACTGTAAATCTTAAATCTGTCTAACAGTGCGTCAGTCCTAATACTTGTAACCATAGCTGCTTTTCCTAGCTCCTATGCCTTCAGCTACCTATCTCAGCAAGAGGTAGGTGCATGGTTGGTGGTGAGGACAAAACAAGATCTTCAGGATCAATGGCTGTGAACTGACAGCTAAACTCAGTTGCAGGAGGAGATGAAGAGTCAGCTTCAATAATGCCAGTAGAGATTTCAGGTGGATGAAAACCCTCCAACGTCAACTTAAAGGATGGCATATTAAGCAAATCCCACTCAACACTGTCATCCTCTAGACCTCCATCTGATTCAGCATCAACAAGTGGTTGACCTCAAGTCCCTCCACAGACTGGTGTGACTTCAGGACATTCGTACATAACTATTGACTAAAATTTGTGACTGCTGCAGATTTTTTTAAATGTAACATATCAGTTGACCTTAAAATTAACATTGTTTCCATTACCTTTAGAGTAAAAGGTCTCAGCTTATTAGTGATCTAGTGATAAAAGGCTTCCTAAATATCTAAAAGTAGTACACCTTGATTTTCCAACTATCATGTCCAGATGATGGCGCTAAAACATTAGCTTTAGATAAAACAATGAAGAATCTTTACAATGGTTTCCCCATAACATTTCAAAATGGTTTATTATTCATTTGACAGTTGTGTAACATATATGTGTGATCATTGTAAAATTAGTCTTGTAGCCTTCATTTTTATTATGCTCTCTGAGCATTGTACACTCTGATCTTCGTGGTGAATTTGCTGGGATGTTTACTTTTTAGAAGATTGACAGTGTGCAAAAAAAATTTACTCTTTTGACAAACTCTGAATGCTGAATATTACCCTGTCTGATATTTTATTCTTCACCAACACACAAACACACACATAACTTCCTAAATTTGTGAGAATTTGCCCTCATAACATCCTCATGCAGTCAGTTTCTAACCGTTTATGCAGACACATGCACATTTTATTGGCCTGCTGGAAGTCATGTATCAGGGCAGTTCTCCTCTTGGTCCTCCTTGCACAAAGGGTAATGTTACAGTCCTTCTGCTGGGTGGTTGCCCTCCTACAGCATGCCGATGTCTCCTGGTGTATTGGCCTGGTATTGTCCTCTCTCCCGGTAGTGCCTCCAGCCTCTGTACACTATGCTGAAAGACACAGAAAACCTTCTTGCCACAGTTAACATTGATGTGCCTTGCTTTATGACCTGTACTACCTGAGCCACTTGTGTGGGTTGTAGAGTCTGCCTCATGCTACCACAAGTGTGAAAGCACCACCACAAAAGTGACACATTAACATCAGACAGAAAGCATAAGTACTGAGAAGTGGTCTGTGGTCCTTAGCTGCAGAACCACACCTTATTTGAGTGTGTCTTGCTAATTAGCAATTATTTTATCTGTTGTCTATTCCATTTGCACAACAGCGTGTGAAACTGATTGTCAAGCAGTGTTGCTTCCTAAGTGGACAGTTTGATTTCTGATTGATTGATTTTATTGATCTCACAGTGAAGAAATGTACTAAGACAGTTAAGACCATTTTAATTTAATTGGATTTATATTGTGTGGGTTAGATGTTGTATTTATTTTTTTTGGATGTTTTCTTCAGATTTTTTGTCAAACATTTAAAATTACCTGCATCTAAAGCATCCTGCTAGTTAAACATTAACTAAACTTGACAACCCTCACATGATGACAGATAAAAAAAAGATCTCATTACAAAGCAGATAACTGATTCACGGACAGGCAGACAAAAAAATACAGAAACCAATTCACATCTAAGGTTAGCAAACTTAACAATATCTTTGACAAATATAACTTAAATGAAGTAAAAAAGTTTTTCATTTAACAATTATGATAAATGATATAGTGCTATATATATATTTTTTGATTTTTAAAATTTTTATTTTTTTACTTTTCACATTTAGTTTCAATTTTCAAATTTTGGTTATTTAAATTTCTTAATTATTCTATTTTTTGTCCCTCATTTGCATTGTTTGAATAAATCAAACCATCAATAGCTATTTTTTTTATTTACATTACCTGAACGTAAGGGATTAAAGTCCAGATGATTGCAGTAACTTTCAGATCATTAAAATTATTATAAAGATAAAAGCTAAAAACTTTGCTTGTGCTGAGATTTATGCTGCTGTCCAACTCTAAACTGAGCTTATCCCTTATTGTATCAAAGAAATCCTAATTCCAGATGCTTTAAAATGTGTGTATGTTTGGGAAAGTTATTTATTAAGAATTCCATGTACTTTGTAATACAATTTATAATTTTTAGGGAGCCTCAGTGCTTCAGCTAACAGCTGTGTTATGACCTTTAAAGAAATTATTCATGTAAAATACATAAAGTTGGTAATCCTTTACTTTACCTGTTGCACTTCTTCAAGAGAACAATATATCACCAGCATCTAAACTAATTTAAAAGATATAGTAGAATTTTCAGTTCAGTAACTGGATCCATCCATTGATGGAGAAACCCAGATGTAAAAATAGAAAAAGATATTAAAAAAAAATTTACATTTCCAAATTCAACACAAAGGAATTACCTGAAGAGAAAGATCAACATAAATTATAAAGTTAAGATAATGAGAAAATGAAACAAAAACCGACCTTTTCCCTGAATGGTTGTAGTTTATACAACCGACAAAAAATTTGCAGCTACATTAAAATAATCCAACCAACAGTTTCAAATCTAGCTGACTTTACACGCGATGCATCTTTGCTGTTTGTTGATCAGATAAAATAATCTTTTTGGACAAGACAGAGTTGGTTGCTGACCTTGGAGCTCTTTCTTAAAGATCACATTGACCATCTGTGGAGGCGACCTTGCATTTATCTAGTCTAAAATGATGGTTTGGTATTAACTTTTTTGTCAAGTGGTTGCAAGACATTTAAATTGTTAGTATTTGCTTATTACCAGTTTTTGAGGACAACCGAGGCTCTGTGTTTGCTTTCTGCCAAGCATTCTATTCCCTTGGGAGTGTTTCAGAGCGTAGGGCCTCAAACGCCTTGGACTCAGGTCATTGTGCATGGATAGTATACATGTAAGCTTGAAATAGAACAATAACTGTGTTTGTATTGTTTGTTGATTTGAGGCACATTGAGTTGCCTTGTGCATGAAATGTGCTTTATAAATAAAGTTGCCTTTCCTTGCCTTCCTTTCTTACTGGTGTAATCTTTATAAATGAGTGAGTCATGTCATATAACATTTTGTGTTTTTCCACTTCCATCTTCAAGCACTATCTTATATCAGAGCACCTCTTTCTCAGTCTGCAGGTTTACTTGTGGTTCCTAGAATTTCTAAAAGTAGAATGGGAGGCAGATCTTTTAGTTATCAGGCTCCTCTCTTGTGAAACCAACTACCGGTTTTAGTCCGTGAGGCAGACACCCTGTCAACTTTTAAGGGTAGGACTTAATTTTTTGATAAAGCTTATAGTTAGAGGGGTTCAGGTTATCCTGAGCTATCTCTATAGTTATGCTGCTATAGGCTTAGAAAGCTGAAGGACATAGGGATTCATCATTCTGCTTCATTCTATCTTCAGTCTGCTTCATCACCTGCAAAGAGATGTAAAAAGAACAGCACAACCAACAGACATGGTACGAGATATACAATAAACACCTAGATACTATTGCCAAAGTAGTATTATATAATCTGACATGTGCTCTATGTTACCTGAAGATAAGAATGTGGGCTTTATGTATGGAAGTGAATCTCTGAGTACCTGGAACCAAGCACCTGTAGTTGTTTGTGAGAGTGCACTTGTGCATGTAAAGTTTATCCAAAGGAAAAAATGCTCAATAGTGGTTGTGGAGAGCCGAAGAGGTGCCTTCCCTTACCACTGAGACCCAAAGCACCAGATGTCCAAAGGGACCCCAAGAGCGAAGGCGCCAAGGTGGGGCCAGCCCAGGAAGTCTGACCCCCACCAAGGCAGAAGGATGTCGGAGCCCCCGGGAGCCATGGGGACAAGTCCGCAGCCAGCCACCTCAAAGGGAATCTGGCCCCTTGCCGGCCAGGCCCTGCAGAGAAGCCGCCAGGAATGAGCCAGTAGCCACCACACATGTAGGACCTTGGGGAGGGTGTCGTTACTGGAGGGTCCCACCTTCTGATGACGTCCCCCACCCCAATTTTATTTCACATTTTAGAAACTTTCATCTACAACATTTCACAACACACATATATGTAGGGAATTGTCTGAGGGGGTGGGGTGTAAGGACACTGGGGGGGCTTATTGTGTTGGCCTCACCTCGGATGGCTCCCCCGCAGCCCCTCTTGCATTTGTACATTGAGCCATTGAGGGTTCTGGGTGGTTGATTGAGGGGGTGCACTGGCAACAGCTATCTTCCAGAGGGGGTTGGACTGTGCCGGGCATCCCCTTTGGTACTCCCAGCTTTAATTACACCTGAGAACAACACAACATTCGGGCGGGCGCAAGGAGGATCAGGGTATTTCTCACACTTCCCTTCTCCGGTTGCTGTCTGGGGCCTGGGGGAAGAGCAGGCCACCTAGTCCGTAGTCTTGGCGGGAGGGTTGTTGCAGGGGGAGGAAGTGGTCCCCTGAGTTTTTTAGGGGGGGTAGGGGGGGTGGACGGGCGGGACGAAGGTGGGACACTCCTGGGGCCTCAGGTCCCCCTGGCAGGCTTCAACATTGTGGTGCCTGGGGGATTTCTTTTGGGCCGTCTCTCCTCTTCCCTTGTAGGGAGAGCTGGTTTCCTGGGTTGGCCCCTATTGGCCGCCTTTGCTTTGGGGATCCCTTTGGACGTCTGGGTGTTTGGTCCTCCAATACTTGTCCTGGTGCTCTGGGGGGGTGCATGTTAGGGCTGGGTGATAATTCAATAACGATATATATCGATCGATAGACGTGTGGCGCAATAGAAAAAAAGAGGGTCGATAAAAGTTCGATAAAAAAGAAACGCAGTTTTCCTTGCTTCTCATTGTAGCCTAGCATGTAGGTTTATGCTAGTCACTGCTTCCTCCCAACCAATCACAATCGCGGACCCAGGCATGCCGTCACCAAGCGCCGCCCTCTCAAACCACAACACAGAGCACATGAAGAAGCAAGTAGAGGCGGAGGAAATTGTTTCAAAGAAGGGTTTTTGTAGTTCGGCAGTCTGGCAGTATTTTGGTCATGGCAAGTCGGACCAAAAACAAACCACAGTCATCTGTAAAATGTATCGGGAACCAGTGAAAACGAAGTCTGATAACACAACCAACTTTTTTTTATCATCTCAGCCGCTCACACCCGCAGGAGTACGAGCTGTGCAGGCCCCGACGCGGCTCTCCTCCGAGGAATCTTCGGAAAATATATATATATTTTCAGTTCTGGGGAGTTTCCCACGTAGTTCTAGCTATTGAGATAAAAATGCTGAGGGGCCAGAAATTTCAAAGTAATAACTCAGGTTAAAGCAGGAAACGGGGACGGCGGCGGCGGTGGGGGGCATTTATCTATTTGTTATATTTATTTTGGTCACTTTTCTGGTCACTTTAGTTTATT